CCTCCTGGGTTCAAGCAATTCTCCTGCCTCAGCCACCCGAGTGGATGGGACTACAGATATCCATCACCATGTCCAGCTAATTGTTTGTATTTTTAGTAGATACAGGGTTTCACCAGTTGGCCAGGCTGGTTTCGAACTCTTGATCTCAGGTGATCCACCTGCCTTGGCCTCCAATGAGCTGGGATTACAGGCATGAGCCATGGTGCCTGGCCTTTTTTTTTTTTTTTTTTTTGAGACAGTCTCATCCTGACACTGAGGCTGGTGTGCAGTGTCACAATCTTTGCTCACTGCAACATTTGCCTGCTGCGTTCAAGCGATTCTCCTACCTCAGCCTCCTTAGTAGCTCGGATTACAGGTGTGTGCCACCATGCTCAGCTAATTTTGGTATTTTTAGTAGCGATGAGGTTTCACCATGTTGGCCAGGCTGGTCTCAAAATCCTGACCTCAATCGATCCGCCCGCCTCAGCTTCCCAAAGTGCTGGGATTACAGGCGTGAGCCACTGCGCCTGGCCTCCCCTTACATTCTTAACCTTGGGGTTGACACAGATAGATCAGCTCCAGGGAGTTATCCAGGTAACTGGAAAGACACACTAAGGTTCTTAATGTCTACATCTAAACTATCCCAGACTCAGTATCCTGCAAAATCCATACTCTAGCCATCCATCGAACAGGATTGCTGAAGAAGAAATTAGATGTAATGTGTAAATAAGTCAGCCCCTTGGCACCAGAGAAATACATTATGGAGTTGGGTGGGCTATCCAATCCCTCCGGGTCGCGTCACCAGCACACTAGGGGAGAAGTCTACTCACTATTCTCCACTGTAGGATCGTAGCCTTCCGAGAACTCGCCTTCCACAAATTGATGTGCCAAAGATGTCTTCCCTGTGGGGAGCAGTGTGGCAGCTGTATCCAAATCATCCACATTCACATCCTCTGTCCTTTCGGACTGTGGCCCAGGACCAAAGGGTACCCCAAATTAACACCACAGTCTGTGAGTGCCTCAAGCAATCCTATCCCTTGTGTCTACCCTCATCGTCTTTTCGCCCGGGGTCTCCGCACTTTGGCTACCGGATGCATTCAGAAGCGCAGCAGGAAGCCTTTCCCGCCGCCTTCCCCACCCCATCCTACCCGCAGGAATATCCAAGATTCCCCAGGATCGAGTCCGCCCCGCCCCAGGACACCTGCGACTATCTGTCCCCACGGAGACCGCATCCCGGTTTTCAAATTGTGACCCCACCCCTATCCCCAAAGTAACGCTGGGACCACTCTGAGATTACCGCAGCCAGGTCCTCATTGAGCCTTAAGTGCTTGCGCTTCCTGCAGCCTCCACACACCACCAACCTTTATTCCTCCACTCTTCCAATCCTCGCTCTACAACCCCATTCTTACGATGTCACCATTCCTCCCTGGGTCGCGTTCCCACGGCAGCGCGCCTCTTCTGGCTACAAAGCTGCTGCGCGTCCGAGTTCTGCAGGGCGGAGACTCACCTACAGAGCGGTATCCGAGGATGACCACCTTCCTGTAACGGACCAGCGGCATGGCAGGAGCCCGCCCCAGGGGCTTGCGGAACTGCGGGCTGAGAGAGCCCGAAGACGAGGTCAGGGTGTGGGCAGGTGCAGGAAAGTCGCTCACCCAGAAGCTGCCGTGGGCAACTTAGAGGGAAACCAAAACAAGCGCCGCGCCCGGAGCTGCCCACGTGATCACAACACAGCACGTCTAACGCGAGGAAGCCCGGCGCCGGGGGAACTACTGTGCCGCGCCGCGCCGGGCTCCGCCCCTCAGGCCGCTCGCCATTGGTCCATTAGAATGGGTAAGGGCGGTGCCGCCAGCAGGAGGGAAGGGTGGGCCTCACGTGGAGCGGGAGTACTGGGAGCTGCGCGTGCGCAGACTGGAGCCGGTTCATTCATAAAGAAACAGAAAGGAACCCGGGGTCCTAAAGGCGTTTGCGCATTTGCAGCCTAGCTGAAGTGGCTGCGAAGAATTACGGATGGAAAATACCCGTTGTGTGGTTTCTGGCCATAAGATTCTAGCCCTTTGCATGGTCTCTGGGGTCCTTAGATACGAAGAAAAGGGCCGAAGTTCCAATATATTCCCTCTGCTTCCCCCAGCCTTCAGCCCCAGACCTATCAAGGTTTCCAGTCCTCCGGCATCTGATTTCAAACTGCAATTCTTGTTCTTGCGGAAATTGCTAGAATTTATGATCAAGTAGTCTGAGGTTTCTTCTTCATCCTCATGATCCTCAAACATTCATTTTTCAACAAATACTGAACATATACTACGTGTTTCAGGCATTGCTCCAGCTTTGGGGTCAGAACATGGACATGAAAGACAATGTGTCTGCTCTTATGAAGGGAGAAACAAACATACAACAAGGAGATATCAGATAGCGTTAAGTGCTATAGAAGATGGTGTGATAAAAGATGACCACTTTATTTTTTAAAGACAATACAGCATTTTTAATTTTTATTTATTTATTTATTTTGAGACAGGGTTATGAGACTGGCTAATTTTGTGTTTTGAGGAGAGACGGGGTTTTGCTATGTTGCCCAGGCTAGTCTCGAACGCCTGGCCTCAAGTGATCCACCCGGCCTGGCCTCCCAAAGTGCTGGGATTATAGGCGTGAGCCACCGAGCCTGGCTGAGATGACCACTTTAGATTAGTAATACTTTCTCCCATAGGAAACCCCATTTAAACTAAGATCTGAAGGAACCAGTTAGCAGATTTCAAAAGAAGAATCCACCAATGCTAAGGCGTTAAGATGGAAATAAATTCAGTAAATTCCAGGAAGAGGGGAAGAAAAAAAGAAAGTCAGTTAGCCTAAAGCAGATGAAGTCTAAGAGAATGGCAGAGGCCAGGCCACATAAAGAAGTCTGGGCTAATTCTAAGTACTTGAAGGTATTTAAGCTGGGGCATGACATGATCTACATTGTCTTTCTAAAAAATCTCCCTGGTTGGCCGGGCGTGGTGGCTCACGCCTGTAATCCCAGCACTTTGGGAGGCCAAGGCGGGCGGATCACGAGGTCAGGACATCAAGACCATCCTGGCTAACACAGTGAAACCCCGTCTCTACTAAAGAATACAAAAAATTAGCCGGGCGTAGTGGCGAG